TCCAATGCACTGCATTCCTCAATGCACCAAAGAAGCATGGTAAAGGGACATATGTCTCCGACTGTTTGCACTACATTCTATTTGATGCATCTGCAGATCTGCCCTTGCTCTAATGTGTTACAGAACTTTTAATACAAAAGTGCTTTCTTTCTTCACCTCCTCCATTCCTTCTCCCCCTCCGCTTCCCTCTCCCCTTGTCCTTTCATTTATCCTTCCCCTTCTCCTCCCGCTTCATCTTCTCCTCCTTCAATTTATAGCACTCTCTCCATGGCGATTATCTGAATATTGATCTAAGTGTCAAGCAGCATACAGTACTCAGACTTGCTCCTCTATCCCAGGTTAGCTCTATTTTATAGTTTCCACATCTTTGCTTAAATTTCTCATCTCTTCATGAAGGTTTTCCACCTTTTCCATTACAAACTTCCATGTCATGAGCTGCCCATGGAAAGGGTGACATGGCAAAAAACTGCAGGTGCCCTCTCGGTCCTGAGAGTAGACACTAGCCAACAGCTAGCAAAAAGCAGATTCGTCAGTAATACAGTTGCAAGAAATATAATCTTTCCAGCAATCTGAAAGAGCTTGGAAGTAAATTCTTCCCCATTCAAGCCTCCAAACCAATACCTTTATTGCTGCCTGCTTAGATCCTGAGGCAGAGAACTCAGCCTCAGACACTTGATCCACAGAAATGGTGAGATAACAAATGAGTGTTGTTTTAAGTAACTAAGTTTGAGTAATTTGTTATACAATAGAAAACTAATGAAGCTTTCTAAAACGGCCTTAGTGGTTAAGATGCTGGAATCTGGGAACAACTGCCTGGGCTCACAATTCAGTTCCACCACTTACTTGAAAAGTGATGTAATCACCTTGTCCTCAGTTTTGTCACATATAAAATGAGATAATAACGGCACTTCTATGAATAATTGTGAAGATTAAATTAGTTAATACAGGTAAAACATTAGAATAGTGCCTAACACATCATTATAACTGTTTGCTATTATAATAATGATAAACTAGCAAGTAATATAACCTATTAATAAAATAATACTGTTTTTAAAAATGATAAAATAATAGTAAATAAGCATAAAAATACTTATGATAGATAATATAAAATAACAATATATTATAGTATCACCATTATTATATGTATCAGAGTAGATTACGTTATATTGCAGTAACAAAAATCGCAAAATCTCAGTGACGTTTGGCATCAATATTTATTCTTGCTCATATTAAATGTCCACTGCTGACAGGAGCAGTCTCTATTCATTGTATTCCCATAGACCCAGGCTGATGAAGTAGCTACCATCTTGAATGTTGCCAGCCACTGCACCACAGTCAAAAAAACGTACTGGAGAGCCTCACATTAGTAATTAAATGCTCCAGCCTGGAAGTGACACACCTCATACCCCACTTCTATTTACAACACATTGGCTCCACACAAATATAAGGGAACCAAAAACATCCAATTCTACCACGTATTCAGAAGTAAAGAGAGAGGCAGAAATTTTGGCAAAAAGCACTAAAGACTACCACACTTGCTACTATTAGTGTTAGTGTTCTACTCTTTAACCTACGAACAAATTTTGATAAAACTAAAAACTAAATTTGAGAAAGAAAACAAGGTGCCAACAATACTCAAAAGGGTTAATCTTAGTTATTCTTGCCTTAAGCTGTTTGAGGCTAACTTGGACTATCCTAAACCTTTGGATGTAAATTATTAGCAAACAAATCACTGGTGTTACAATATATGTCAGTTACACCAAGACATGTTTGCCTCTTAATACTACAGATATTTTATTAAACAGTTGTATTATTTTTAGAATGTAACTTATTATAATTCTATTTGTTTTGATATACCACAAAAGCAGATTTTTATTTTATCAAGATAGAAACCACAAACAACATTAAAAACTACAAAGATGATCATGTGGAAATCTTCATTGCATCAGATTGGGGTCCCCAAATTGTAGGGTCATACTCTATTTCTGGAGGTAGACAATTGCTCCTCCAGCTCCAAGAAGCCAAGCCTATAAGCAAGGATTATTCTGGGATGGAAGAAAGCCTCAGAGTCCAGGAGCAGACCTAACTGAGCAGAGTATACGGTTTGTAAAAGTGTTGTCTTTTGGCCGGGCGCGGTGGCTCACGCCTGTAATCCCAGCACTTTGGGAGGCCAAGACGGGCGGATCACGAGGTTAGGAGATCGAGACCATCCTGGCTAACAAGGTGAAACCCCGTCTCTACTAAAAATACAAAAAAATTAGCCGGGCGAGGTGGCGGGCGCCTGTAGTCCCAGCTACTCGGGAGGCTGAGGCAGGAGAATGGCGTGAACCCGGGAGGCGGAGCTTGCAGTGAGCCGAGATCGCGCCGCCGCACTCCAGCTTGGGCGTCTGAGCAAGACTCCGCCTCAAAAAAAAAAAACAAAAACAAAGTGTTGTCTTTTGTGACTCAATGGATCTTCACTTGCTACTTGTGGGAAAAACTTAAATCACTTTTAAAAAATAGTATACATAAATAGATAAATATTTATCTGATCTTCAGGTGGTAAATGCTTTTCTAAACCTCACTCTAAAGAAAATAAATACATTTGGCAATACAAAAAATTAAGACTAATGACAATTGAGAAGTTTTTTCTTTCCTAAAAATAATGAAAATAGAAACAATGTCAATATAAGTGAAAAAGAATATACCTATTATATATGTGTGCAGAAAAAAGAGTTAAAATCATTCCATATAAAGAGAATGTGTAAATCAATAAAAAGGGATATTGTTGCAGAAAATTAGCAAAAAAGACAAAAAATAATTATACAGGAAGAAGCACAAATGGCCAATAATATATCTAAAAGATACAATCTATTTAATAATCAAAAATTAAAATTAAAATATTTTGTTTTGACTCTTTGCTAAAAATAAAATGATTTATAATAGCCATTATTGGTGAACTTGTAGAAAAATGAAGACTAATATTTGATTATTTAACAAATAATAAATTGAGAAAATACTATCTTCAGTAAAAAAAAATGAAATATTAAAAGTGGTATGATCCAGTTTACTAAAATTACAAATAATAAATAATATTTTAGAATACATACACAGAAACAAAAGCTGGAAATCTATAAACCAAAGTTAATTAAAAAAATGGTTACCTATCTTTGGATAGAAAACTGACAAGTGACTTTTGTTCTCTTAACTTAAAAGAAAGATATTTTTCTAAACTTTGAAACAGTCTCAAACTAACAGAAATGTTGTAAGTATAATATAAATAAATTTAATTTGCAACCCTCAAATGGTCATAACACAAACCATTTGAGAGTCAGTTGCCAACATATTACCTCCAATATCTCTGATTACTTTAGCGTGTATTTCCTAAAAATGAAGACATTCATAGGGATGCCCAATCACATGAAAACTATCAAAATCATGAAAATAACATTGATACATTATGACTATCTATCTTCAATCCAATTTAATTTCCATTAAATGTCCCCCGAAATGTACATCGTAGCAAAAGAAAACCAGTCCAGGATCACATATTGTATTTAGTTCTCATGTCCCTTTAGTCTCTTTTATTCTGGAATAGTTCCTATAGTTCCTCAAGCTTTCTTTGACTTTCATAACTTTGGTATTTTTGAAGTTTACAAGCAAGTGATTTTTAGATTGTCCCTCAATTGGTGTTTGTCTGGAATTCCCTCATGATTAGATTCTGGTTATGCATCTGTGGCACGAATATCACAGGAAGCAATGATGTATTCTCATTGTATCCTATCAGGTAGTTCACAATTTTGATTTCTCAGCATTACAAATCATGTTCACTTTGATCATTTTATTAAAATTGTGTCCTCTAGGCTTCTCCATGTAAAGTTACTATTCTTACTTGTAATTAAGAAGTGTTTTTATAGACAGATACTTTGGCACTATGCTAATATCCTTTCTCATCAGACTTCTCAATAAACTTCCAAATTTATTAACTGGTTTCTTATTTTGTTTTATTGTAATCTATTAAAAATGCTATTTTGATGCTTAGTTTGTCCTCTGTTTGAGCAGTGGAAGCTTACATGCCTCATCATTTGTTGAGTACTTCTTTGCGTTCTGTCACAGCAAGGTATTCTGAGCTCATCTTATATTTTCCTTGCTCCAGTCCTGGACCAAGTCATTTCTCCAAGGAGTCTTGATCTCTTTTACTGCAGAATGGCATTTAAAAGATAACATTTTAGAGCCAAATATGCTAATTACTTGCTTGTTACTGTTCTTGGGCCGTCAGTATACAGAGCTGTAAAACATTTGCATTTATACCCATATTTACATCTATATTTATTTTTATATATTCCTATAGTTATTGAAATCTATAAATTAATACCAATGCCTTCAATTCCAAGCAAATCTCACAGGATTCTTTCCCATTTTCATCCTTTTCATATTTGCAAATCCCTTCCTTGACAGTGAGAAACCTAGTTCCCATGATTCTTAGTATTTCTTATTTGACTAATGCCCGTGTGTGTAGCAATCTCCTATTCTACTCAGGATCTGACACTCCACAGCAACCCCCTCCCTCCAATCTCTTCTTATCCCGTTGGAGCTCTGTAAGACATGTTGGGCTGTCCACACACAGGAATGCCCTCCTTACCTTGCTTGGGCTCTAACTCCCCATGCAGGGCAGTCTTCCTATGAATATGCCCTCCTAATGTATCTTAATCACTAAGGAGAATGGGTAAGGTGTGCCCTTCCTCTGGGCCATTGCAACTCCTAAACCCTTACCCAACTTCCAGGCTCAGCTCCACCTATGGGCTCTGAGATCCAATTGTTTAGGGAGGGAAAATGAAGGACAAATAGGATTAATATTGGAACTTTTTGATATTTTGCAAAGTTCTTACAATAAACATGTATTTGTTTTATAATTTTAAGGGTTTTTTTGTTAATTTAAAGATCAGATTTTGATACATTAGACCAAGGGTTAGCAATCTTTCTGTAAAGGGCCAAATAGTAAATATTTTTGGCTTTGCACTCTATACAATGACTGTCACAACTGCTCAACTCTGCCATTAGGAAAAGCAGATGATCTTAGCTATATTTCAATAAAACTTTATTTACAAAAATGGGCAGCAGATCATATTTGGCCCTTAAGTCATAGTTTGCCAATCCCTGTACCTAAGGTTTGAGTCCAATAAGGCAAAGTTCAAGCCTATGCATGCTCTTTCAATACCTGTGAGATGTTAAACAAGTAGTTTATTATCTCCAAGCTTCATCTACAATTTTTATGAGTCTCTTATGGACTATCAGTTGAGTAACTACATTGTAAATGGTAAAGTATTACATAATATACTTACTAAAGATGCTAACCCAGAAATGAGTTATGAGAGGGTGAGATGATTAAAAAGGACACATAAATGATCAAAAAAAAAATCCAAAGGAGTTTGGATTTTATATTAGCTAATGGTTATTTACTAACATGAAAACTGAATATGAGGAAGACTGACCTAGCAGTGAGTGAGGGGGTGAAAAAAAATGGCCTTAAAGTGAAGAGCTAAGACATGTTTGTTAGGGCCTAGATACAATACCTGTTGAAACAATTTGATCCAATATAGACTAAGAAGGTAGAGACAGTGAGTCTTTATAACCAATATATAAAGAAAAGCAAATGGTAGGGAGGGGAAAGCAGGACGGAGAGGGAGACGAGGCAGGCGAAGAGAGAGAAATGGGGGGGATTTTTTTAAAAGATTCATTTGCATAACAAATTAACAAAACACGTTATTCTGATTCTGCCAACAGGCTATAGCCATTCATACTGAAATTTTAAAAAATTCTTAGACTTAAACTGTACATCACATTTTTTGTATCAAGGAAATGAAACAGAAAAAAATTGCCTAAGACTTAAGTACATTAATTCAAAAGCCTTAAAAGTCAAAGAAGGGAACATCTACAGACTTCATTAAGGAGTCTATTTAATATGGCATTAATATAAAAATAAGAAAACTTGTCTCCATCTCCTGCTAAATTACTTGCTAGAGATCTGGGAGGACTGGTCAGTCTTGAGAATGCCCTATTGATACCTTCCCCGTTGTTTGTTCAATTTTACATATTTGTGCTCTTGAACATCATTGATCTATGATAGTAGCTCGTGGGTGAGAGATTGCTCAAGACAAAAGGTTCACCATTAACATTTTTAGCTATTTTGAAGATTACTACAAATTTCCCAATGAGTCTAAAATTGGTCTAGGAAATTTTATCCTATCAAAAAGAATTCTGTTCTGTCAATGATATGATTTGGTTTATCAGTAAAGACATTAGTTTGGGATCTCAGGAAAAAAATATCATAATGTGAAGGTTTAATAATTTGAGAAAATATATGGCGTGCTCTTTTTTCTCCTCTATAGCCATTGCCTATCCTCCTTGGAGAAGTGTGGCCACCGTTTTTTTCATGAGGTTAATTGTCAAATAAAACCCAATCACAACAGAAAATCATTTTATGCTTAAAAACAATGGGTTCAGATGTGAGGGGAACAAGTGGGAAATAGAAGCAGAAGCAGTTTGACCCTAAGTTTCTAGTGTTGGCTCTGCTTCTTTCGTAAGACAGGAGATCGTTATTTTACTCCTGCTCTATGATAAACATAAAGTACAGTGCTCAGCAAACTAGATGTTCAATAAATGAATAAACAAATATAAGACCTTGGGTAAGTCATTTACCCTATCTGGAACCATTTTAAATTTTTGAAATAATATTCTTATTTTAATTTGATATGAAGATTTACAATGTGCTCTATCAATGGTAAGTGAAGAGTAGCTGTGATGATGATGGTGATAAATAAAAAATAGAGTTGCTATGTCCCCAGATTCCGCTGCCCATTTATTTTCTTTTACTCAAGACATTTTTGACCCTTTCAATATCCAGTGGAAACATAACTGAAATGTATAAAAACCTGGAAGCAAATATTTCTCTCTAATTTAGAGAAAGAATGATCTTCCAATCCCATGATAATCCAGAGTCAACATTCTTCTAGATAGAGGAAAAATGAGGGGTACATAGACAGGAGGGTTGAAACCCATTCTTATGGGAAAGAAGAGGCCACTACGTTTGTTCAGAAAAGATGAGAACAAAATGCTAATGCACTGAGCCAATGGACTGGCTGAGGTGCCTGCTTTGATGCTTGGACATAACAACGAAGAGAGCCCCAGTTACCTGATTCCCAGCCCAATGCTCCAGCCCTTTGTCACTTATTAGACACACTTCCTCTTTAATAAAATTCTAATTCAAGGGTACATGTCAGATGGGGATGATTTGGAAACATTTTAGGGACTGAAGGTTTATCAAAGTACTGTAATGGCCATAGAATGATTAAAAGGAATGTGTGTGTTCAAATACAAATGAAGAATGATCTGAAGGTAGGGCACAAGGAATAGCAGATGGTAGCTATTAATTATTAGCCTATTACCAAGGCTTCAGTCCAGTAAGAAAGAAGGTATTCTACGTCTGACTCATCATCATCTAACCATTTTACTGCTTTGATTTCTCATAAGAACACTAAAAGAAGACATTTCCTCCTTCTGTTGCTATGTTTGAGAGAGAAAATTGTGTGGCAATTTATGGAACAGTACCACATTAAATTCCTGAACATATATGTCAGGAGCACAATAGACACACACACACTCAAAATGCCAAAAACACGAATAATGAACAGTTCTGGAGACACTATTCTGATATCTCTTGTTCTTAATTAATGCAATTCTATAAGACTGCACTGGCAGATGGGGATCGAGACCCCCCCTCTCAGGCTTGTCTGCGTTGAGGTAGCATATAATAAGCGTGTAGTCAGTTTGTGCCCTAGTCAAACGGTTTTAATAAAACCCTACAAGCACTTCAGATCTGAAGCTGGGGGTGTGTGGGAGGTAATGCTAGGCATGAGTTGAGCCCAACTTTATGAATGAAGTGGCTACATGTCATTAATGTTTCAATAGGTCCCCTAACAAGGGTAATTGGATCTCCAGGGAACCTCACCAAGCTTCCACGTTAAATTTGCCAGTGGTGAGGATGCTCAGGTCTTGAAGGTAAGCGGAACCATTCCTGTTTTACCTTGAACCCAAGGGTCAAGCAGGCCTAAGGGAAATAGTTTGAAACTGTCATTTAACATTATCACCGACATGTACTGTATTTCCAAGCAGCCTGCAAAAGGAGCCAGAGACATGCATACATGGCCCGGAGCTGCAGGGTGGTAGCATGTCACATGTCTGGTAACAGAAGGGGATAACCATCCCAGTACAAACTTGACATATATAAATTGATTACATAAGTGGGCAGTGGTGGTCCTTTCAAGTATTCTCCTTTTGTTTGAGCTTTACAGTAAAATTACCAGCAGCAGTTTACAATTAAGGGGAATAATAATAACTGAATATGCTTTCATCTGCACATACAATTACAATGAACTGCATGCCTTAATAGGATTGTGAAAAATCTGCGTTTGACCCATAGAAAAAAGTAAACATTCTTGTTCTGGATACTATATCATTATCACAACAAAGAGAAACTCCTGAAATCTGATGATTTAAACATCTGGAGAATGTTAATCACTTCAAAATGACGGATGTTTTTTATTTCAGCTTTTGACAGACACACTCCTTTCATAGATAGATGATTATTTACATAAATTACATCATCAATGTGAAAAAAATCAGAATAACTTCAAAGGATAAAATGCTTAATTAAAAAGAGACTTGTATTTCTATTTTTTCTCTCTTTCTCTGTTTTTCCTCTAAAGGAGGAGTAAAAAGGCAAATCTACCAATTCCATTGTAGGTGAATATGTAATGAGGAAGTTGTGTTTTTAAATTTCTTCATGTAGAATACATTTAACTTTAAGAATAAATTACTCAATTTTTAGTATCCTGAAACTTATTAATTGCTTTAAATCCACTTCTGATTTCTAACGTTTCCCTTTTTAAAATGGCAATTTGGGGTTCACTTAGTCATTCCAATAGCTGAAACAGAACAGATTCAAGCTCAAGTTGAGTCTGTAATTCACCCTCTCTTTTTGTTCAACTTTCAAATTAGCCTTGGTAGATGGAGGGAAATAAACTTTTAAAGCAACTCAGCACTGAACGAAGAGTTTAATAGATCTTAATTCATTGTTAATGCAGGGGTTCTTTTGTTTTGTTTTTTGTTGTTGTTGTTTTTTGTTTTCGTTTGTTTGTTTTTGTTTTTTAGTGGGACCTGAGAAAATAAAAGTCAAGAGCAGCCCAAAAAGAAAGAATTGAAAACTCTGCCCTTTCAAGGAGCTCTGGCTGCAGTCCCTCAGGGTCGGCCTCTGACTGGCGGCATGCTGCCTTATGCTGGTTGGTAGAACTGGTGCAATTTTGTTGATCCACTACAATTTCCTCCTACACTCAGAACTGATCTGCAGACTGACCTTAGACAATTTGTCTTCTTTCAGGGAGAAATGTCACCCAAAAGGAAGCTATTAAGTCAAGAAGGTAATTCTCTTAGAACAGTCCACTGTATAAACAGAACTTGACCTCAAGTAATTTATTGCTGGTCCCTAACAAAGAGACTTAAGATTTAGGTTTGATATAGTTGAGATCTGAATCTGTCAATACAAAGGGCAAGCCAGAACCTCGCCGGATTTCTTTTGAGTGGCCGTATTTAGAATATAAGCCAGATCAATATATTGTTCACACAGGAAAGTGGCATTTGGTCATTTAGAATGAAAAGTTCATTTTATTAACAAATCAGAAATTTGTACTTGCACAGTTCAGTCACTTCTTTAATTACTCCTAGATGATTTTTGTGAGGCTAATACCTAAACATGATATAAAGACTATATTTCCTTGAAAACACTGAGCTAGTTTCGATGCTCAAGATACAGGTATGTCCCACATTGCTAAGAGGTTTATTTTCTTTTTAACAGAGTGGAAAGTGAAAAGTTAAATTTCTTAATTGAGTGGAATGAATCATGTTACTTGGGGGCACAGAATCCAATCAATGAACATCTCATAGTTCAAGATCTGAAAGGGTCAAACTGCTAAGCTGTCTCTTGACAATATCTCATGGACCACCTTTGACAGATGGATATTAGAGAGACTTCTAGAAAATAAAAAAAAAAAAAGGAAGAGGAGAAGAAAGCAAAGAAAGGGTAAGAAGTATATTAGGAAAACCCTTTAACTCACTTTAAATTCTTTGTTTTGTGGTTACTATGGTGAAATTTCCCATTTCCTATTTACAAATGAGGATTTTTCTGCCTTTTCTATTACAACTCTAAATCTCAGTTCCCTTGATTAATGAATAGCTGGTTCAATGATTCCCTTGTAAGATCCAGGTATTCTGCTGTGTCTACTTTCATTGATAAAATTCTCCCCTACCTCCATCTCACCATTTCTAGGCCTTCTCTTTTCCAAGTACCTCTCTCCTCCTCAAGTCCCATCCAATTCACTAACCAGCTCTACCAGCCTGGAGACCACCCACATCCTACAAATGGAAAAGTGCTGAGAACCTGTCAGCCACAGCTGACAGAGAGTCCGTCAGGGTAGATTTTAATGCTGTGAACATTTTGCTGATATTTTTCCACAGAGCACTACCTGATGTTGACATTTTAGGTTTCAAAGTAGCAGCTAATACTTTGCTTCTTGACTGGCACTAACTTTCAAAACAGTAACTAGAAAGCCTTGAAACTTTTAGAAATCTCCATTTGTTCAGTCTATAAAATGGGGCTAGCACCACAACTGAATCCCCTAGAAAAACTGCAATGCCTCCCTCACGTGGATGAAGAGCTTTGAGATCTTCACAGGAAAATTCTAAAGAAGGAATTGGAGAGTATAGTGATGTTTTTCTAAATTAAAAGTGACAACCAGCATTTAGTAGGGGAATCAGAACACAGAATTGAGAGCAGGAAGCCTTATATTCATTACAACAGATGGTTTAGTTTTCACTGAAGAGGAAGCAGCTGAGTTAATGAACAGGGGTATGTCCTTAAAAGATTCAGCAGCCATCCAAATACACAGGAACAATCTAGTGGAAACTAAAGACTTGGACTAGTCTGTATTATACAAAATAAAGCATCCCTACTGAGTTTGACTTCAGCTGGCTGAAGTCATAAGGCATAGTGTTCTACTATTAAATAACACTAATATAATTACTACTGGCACAACTTTAAAAAAACAGGACTTTGTTCAAATTCTTAACACAAAGATAAGTCACATAGCAAATCTGTAATCAATGCCTGTTGAAAAAAATATTGAATGATTTTCAGTTCAAGGAAAGTGTTTTCACTGCTTGGCTTTTCTCTCATCTCTTGCCCATCTCTGCTTTTCTTTTTTTATTTAAAAAAGAATAAAACATTTCATTTGAAATATAAAACATGCCACAAAGCACAGGATGTAATATAACAGACCTCTGTTTTCCACCACCAAGATTAAACAGACTTTAATGTTTTTTAAATATATGCTTGATATCTCCCTCTTTCATAGACATAAATGTCATATAGCTATAACCTCACCCCGTCATCCTTTTCCCCTCAGTTCTTCTCAAAGGTGAAAACTTATCTGCAGTTTTTTAAAAATCATTTTTGTACATATGTTTGTACTTTCACTACATTAGTATGTGTTCCATACACTATCATTTCATTTCACAATTTTTGTACATGGTATTATGCTTTGTATATCCTCTTGCAACTTTCTAACATATTAAAATTTATTCATATTTATGTATGTGATTTAACAACAGAATAACGTTTCTTTATCCCTTTATGTGAATAACCTATTCCCTTCCTAAGGGGATAGTTCTCAGTAACTGCTAGATTGATCCCAATTAATAGGATGGCGGGATTTTTTGTTTTGTTTTTTACTATTACAAACAAGGCTGAAAATAACTTTTTTGTGTATATATTCTTGAATGCATGTAAGAGAGTTTTTCTAGGAATCAAATTGCTAGAAGCTATGGAATTATCATCTTCATTCTCATGCATTGCCACATTCCTCTCTAAAATGGTAACAATTTACACTACCATCAGCAATAAATAAGAATTGCTGTTTCCTCACATCATCACTAACACTTGATGTAAACCAACTGTTTACTTTTTGTCAGTTTAATGGTTGTGAAGTTATATCTCATTGATGTTTTAATTTTCTCTGACTACTAATACTATTGAGCGTTCTTTTATATTTTATTGACTATTTACAGTCCTATGAATTCCTTCTTCATATCATTTGCTAATTTGCCTTCTGACTTTATGTCTTCTTATTCTTGTTGGTTTTTAAGACATAGGTTGCAAAATGTCTTTCTGTCAGTCTTTTCATCTTACGATGTCTTTTTCATGAAACTGCTTTCATCTTAATGGGCTTGAATTTATTGATATTTTCCTCTGTGATTTTTGCGTTTTGTATTCTGTTAAAGAAATGCTTCTTCACATAATGCCATAAAAGTTTTCTCTAATATTTTCTTTTAAAAGATTTACAACTTTTATTTTTATATTGTTATTATTATTTTTTTTTTTTGTAGAGACAGATTCTCACTCTGTCACCCAGGCTGGAGTGAAGTGGTACGATCTCGGCTCACTGCAATCTCAGCCTACCAGGTTCAAGCAATTCTCCTCCCTCAGCCTCCCGAATAGCTGGGACTACAGGCACACGCCACCACACCCAGTTAATTTCTTTTGTGTTTTAGTAGAGATGGGGTTTCACTGTGTTGCCCAGGCTGGTCTCAAGCTCCTGAGCTCAGGCAATCTTCCTGCCTCGGCCTCCCAAAATGCTAGGATTACAAGTGTGAGCCACTATTTTTAAAATTAACTTTTGCATAATATATAGGGGTCTGTTTTAATCTTGTCCCTGTGTTAAGAATTGAATAACTTATCCCTCATCCTATTATTTGCAACTCTCTTTTTTCATAGACTAAACTTCCCAATATATATGATTTTCCTAGGTCTCTATTTTTATAGTTTTATACCAATATCACACTTTGGCTCCCCAAAGATGTCCACGTCCTAATCTCTGGACTCTGTGAATATGTAACCATGCATGGCAGAAGGAACTTTGCATATTTGATTAAATTAAGGACCTTGAAATGGGGATATCCTGGATTATTCGGGTGAGCCCAACCTCATTCAGCAGTCAATAAAAGGATACACCTTTTCCAAGCTGAGATTAGAGTTGGAGGGAGATATAATTACAGCAGAATGGTGAAAACCATGCAAGGTGGTTGGCTTTGAAAATGGAGAAAGGAAGCATGAGCCAGGAATGCTGGCTGCTTCTAGAAGCTGGAAAAGGAAAGGAAATATCTCCCCAAGGGACTGTAGAAATGAATATAGCCCTTCTGACAGCTTGATGTCAGCCCAGTAAGAATTGTATTGAAATTATAATCTACAGAATGTTAACATAATATATTTGCATTGTTGTAAGCCATTAATTTTATAGCAATTTGTTATAGCATCCATAGAAAACCAATACAAATAAATGTAAGAAGAACTCTCTCCTACTGTTTTTCTTTTCTAATCTTCCTGGTTATTTCTGGACCTTTATTCTTTTATTTGAACTTTAGATGAATGATGAATGAATTTCATGAAATTATATGAAAAATATAATTTTGATTAGAATTGTATTAAATTGTATTAAATTCCAATCAATTTGGCAGAAGTGGCTGTTTTTATAGTAGTAACTCTTTCCATAAAGTTGGTGTGATGGTGAATTTTTTAATAATTCATTTAAATTTATTTATTTATATTTTAAGTGGTGGGATACATGTGCAGAATGTGCAGGTTTGTTACATAGGTAAACGTGTGCCATGGTGGTTTGCTGAAACTGTCAACCCATCACCTAGGTTTCAAGCCCTGCATGCATTAGCTATTTGTCCTGATGCTCTCCCTTCCCTTCCCCCTACCCTCCACAGGCCCTTGTGTGTGTTGTCCCCCTTCCTGTGTCCATGCGTTCACATTGTTCAACTCCCACTTATGAGTGAGAACATGCAGTGTTTGGTTTTCTGTTCCTGTATTAGTTTGCTGAGGATGGCAGCTTGCAGCTTGTGATGGCAAATTTTACATGTCAAGTTGACTGGGCCATAGAGTGCTTAGATATTTAGCTAAATATTATTCTGGATGTTTCTATGAGAGTGTTTTTGGATGAGATTAACATTTAAGGTGATAGACTGAATAAAAGAGATTGTCCTCCCTAACGTGGGTGGGCCTCAACCAATCAGCTGAAGGATTGAATGGAACAAAAAGGCTGACCCCTCCCTCCAATAAGACAGAATTCTTTCCTTACTGACAGCTTTTGAACTGGGACATTGGCTTTTTTCCTGCCTTCAGACACTAACTTAAATACTGGTTCTTCCTGGATCTCAAACCTTCTAGACTTTAGTCTGGAACTAAACCATTGGCTCTCCTAGGTCAGCTGATTCAGTCAGCTGATTCATCCTGCAGATCTTATGACTTGCTCACCTTAATAATCACATGAACTGATTCCTTATGATAAATGTCTTTATATATACATTTTCAGGTCATCTTTTCTAATTTTTCTCCATGTAAGTTTTTCACATATTTTAATAGATTTATTCCTGAGTACCATATAGGTTTTATTGGTATTATAAATGGTACCTATTTTGTAATTTTAATTTATAGTTTGATGCTTGAGTATAGATTCTGCATAAATAAATTTTGAATATTTATTTAATTCCCAGAAATGTAACTGAACTCTGCTATTGTTTCTAATGCTTTGTGTTCTCTTGGACAGTCTATTAATCAATATTAACCATTTTGTTTCGAATTTCTAATCTTTATGTACTCCCTTCTCAATCTGCTAAAGTGTTATAACACGTATATTGTGTTATAACATGTGTATTTGTGAAAGTAAGCTAAATGTTACAAAAAATAGATGAAAGCTTTCAGTGGCTTAGTAAAACTGAATTATCAATTATGTAGTTCAACATATATTGGCAGGAGAACTCTGCTGCATACAGTTAGTCCCTGTATTAAGCTGTTCTTACATAGCTATAAAGAAATGCCTGAAAGTGGGTAATTTATAAAGACAAGAGATTTAATTGGCTCATGGTTCTGCAGCTGTACAAGGATGGCATCAGCATCTATTCAAAAGCTCCCTGAAGTCTCTGGGGAGGCCTCAAGGAGTTTTTACTCATGGCAACAGCAAAGTGGGAGCTTCATGTCACATGGAGAAAGCTGAAACAAGAGACAGGGGGAGGTGCCACACACTTTTTTAAATAACCAGATCTCATGTGAACTCAAAGAGAGAGTTCACTTATCACCAAGGGGATGGTGACAAGCCATTCATGAGGGCTCTGCCTCCATGATCTGAGTACCTCCTACCAGGCCCCATCTCTAACACTGAAGACCACATTTCATCATGAGATGTGGAGGAGACACAAATCCACACCATATCATTCCACCCTTGGCCCCCAGAATCACATGTTCTTTACACATTGCAAAATACAATCATCCCATGCCAATGGCTCCTCAAAAGTCTCAAGTAATTTCAGCATCACTCAAAAGTCAAAAGTCTCATCTGAGACAAAGAAAGTCCCTTCTACCTATAAGCCTATAAAACCAAAAACAGTTATTCACTTCCAAGATACAATGGGGGTACAGGAATTGGGTAAACTTTTCTGTTACCAAAGAGAGAAGTGAGACAAAAAAAAGAAGCTGCAGGCCCCATGCAAGTTCTAAACATATCATGGCAATCACTAAATCTTAAAGTTCCAAAATAATCTCCTTTGACTCCATGTCCCACATCCAGGGGGCACAATGGTGTAAGGGGTGGGCTCCCAAGGCCTTCGGCAGCTCCATCTCCATGGCTTTGCAGTGTTCAGCCCTTGGGGCTGCTCTCACAGGTTGTTGAGTTCCTGTGGCTTTTCCAAGTGTGGGGTGAAAGCTACCAGTGGATCTACCATTCTGGGGTCTGGAGGACTGTGGCTCCCTTCTCAGAGCTCTACTAGGCAGTGCACCAGTAGGGACTCTGTGTGGGGTCTCCAACCACACATTTCCTCTTAGCACTGCCCTAGTAGAGGTTCTGTGTGAGGGCTCCACTCTTGCAGCAGGCTTCTGCCTGGACACTCAAGCTTTTCCATACATCCTCTGAAATCCAGGCAGAGGCTGCCACACCTCTTTCACTCTTGCACTCTGTGCACTTGCAGGCTTAACACCACATGAAAGCCACCAAGGCTTATGGCTTGCACTTTCTGAAGTGGTGGCTTGAGCTGTATCTGGGCCTCTTTGAGCTGAGGCTGGAGACAGAGTGGGCCTGGGTGTGCAGAGGGCTGTTCTGAAGCTGTGCAGGGCAGCAGGGCCCTAGGCCAGGCCCAGGAAACCATTATTTCCCCCTAGGCCTCAGGTCCTGTGATGGGAGGGGCTGCCTTACAGATCTCTGAAATGCTTTGTAGGCCTTTTTCCTATTGTCTCGAGTATCTGCACCTGGCTCTTTTTAGTTAAGCAAATCTCTCCAGCAAGTGGTTGTTTCACAGATTGCTTGAATTTCTCTCGTTGAAAAACTTTTCCTTTCTCTGCCACATGGCCAGGCTGCAAATTTTTCCAACTTTCACTCTCGGCTTCTCTTTTAAATATAAGTTCCAACTTTAAGTCATTTCTTTGCTCCTGCATCTGAATATAGGCTGTTAGATGCAGCCAGGCAATTTCTTGAATGCTCTGCTGCTTAGAAATTTCTTCTGCCAGATGCCCTAAATCATCACTCTGAAGGTAAAACTTCCACAGATCCCTAGGGCATGAACACAACGCAGCCAAACTCCTTGCTAAGGCATAACATGGGTGACCGTTGCTCTCGTTCTCAATAAGTTCCTCATTTCCATCTGAGACCTTGGCAGCCTGGACTTTACTGACAATATCGCTATCGGTATTTTGGTCACAAGTATTTACAAGTATCTAAGATATTCCAAACTTTCCCTCATTGTCCTGTCTTCTTCTGAGCCCTCCAAACTCTTCCAGCCTCTGCCTGTTACCTGGTTCCAAAGTTACTTCCACATTTTCAGGTATCTTTATAGCAGTACTCCACTCCTCAGTACCAATTTTCTGTATTAGGCAATTCTTGAATTACTATAAAGAAATTCCTGAGACTGGGTAATTTGTAAAGAAAAGAGGTTTAATTGACTCACGGTTCTGCAGGTTGTACAAACATGGTGTCATCATCTGCTTGGCTTCTAGGGAAGCCTCTGTGAGCTTTTACCCTTTTCAGAAGGTGAAGCAGGAGCTTTCATGTCACATAGCAAAAGCAGGAACAAGAGAAGGGGAGAAGTGTCATATACTTTTTGACAACTAGATCTTATGTGAACTCAAAGCAAGAGTTCATTTATCACCAAGAGGATGGTGTTAAGCTATTCATGAGGGATCTGACCCCATGATTTAAGCACCTCCCACCAGGTCCCACCTCCAACACTGGAGACAACATTTCAGCATGAGATGTGGACAGGACACATTCAAACCATATCAATCCCAGACTTAAGCACCTTCCTTTATGTGACTCAGCCATCTTCTAGGACTTTC